GGGAAATATTTTTAATGTAATTCTGATATCAAAATATTTGCAAAATTCTTAAAATTCTTTCTGAAAAATGTAATTACATTAATTATTAAAAATAGTTATTAAGCATTAAAATATTTGAAAAAATTTCATTTTGCAGTTCCATATAACATATTCCTATAAAGTAGCGAAAATGATTTATTTTTCTGGAATTTATTTTGTAAATAAGATTAACATAATAATTATTTTGTTGTAAGATTTTCAACTTTTCACATTCTTGCCCTTTCCTACATATATTTCATGCATGACAAACTCATTTTGAAACAAAAATTAAGATCGCAATTATTACAATTTTAAAATTTAATTCTTTTGATTTCATAAATATAAATTTAATCTATTTTTGAACTAAAGAATCTAAAAGTAGATAAAAAAGCTGAAAAACTTTAAATATAGTATGAAATTTTTGAAAATTATTACAGAAAAAATCAACAAAATTGCATTTTTTCTTTCTGTTTTTTTTTAATTAAATTTTTCTGATACAAGTCCAAAGATATTAAAACCAAATTTTTTTTTGTAAATAAAATTTTTAAATTAATTGTTTCAAAAATAGATTTTTTTTTTAAATATAATAGTTATTGGGCTACGTGATATATGAAGAATAAGAGAGTAAACAAAAGTTCTGAATTTTGCTTGTTTTTATTTCTTGACGACACCATAAAGAAATTTTTGTCGTCATTACAAAATAATGGACAAAATTTTCATTAAAATATTTTCTTTTTATACTATAATTGAGTTACACATTTAAAAAGAAGAAAGAAATTGAAATTGTAAATTTAAAATTGTACAACGAATTCTTCTTGTATAAAAATAGTTTTTTTTTGCCCATTTGGAAAAATGATGCATGTAAGATATTACATTATCAGTAGGATTTTATTATAGAAATAAATTTTATTCAAAACGACGATAAAGTCAAAATTATAAGAATAGAAAAGTCATCATAAGAAATGAAACAATTTGAAGGTTATAGTACAGAAAACTGATAACACTCTGCCACAAAAGTTTTCTCTCAAATCTCAGACATTTTTGTTTTAAATTTGAAAATTTAATTAAATATTCTTCACCCTGGCAAATTTTAATCTGATTTTTAAATGTTTTATTACGATTACTGGCGCGTCCATTGTTAGTATCTTAAAAATAAAAATTTTTATAATAAATCACTCAATTAGAATTCCATGACCACAATTTTCTAATGTTTATGTCAACACATTCTGGGACAACGTAATCAGTACTAATTGAAATTGGTATAGGTATATTTGTAATAAAAATATAGTAATTATTAATTTATGAGCATATAAATAAGGTAATTACTTGAGCTAGCTTATTTATATGTTCATAAAATGCTTGTTATTGTCGAATATACTTCCAAGATATCTTCAATAGGTCAAAAATAGCACAAAACATTTAATTCTTATATATTAAATAATTTAATATTTTTCTTTAAATTAAATAACTAACCGTGTTTTTGAATTATTTTTTCTTTGATATTGACACGCTTATCTGCCTCATCCAACAGCTCTCTCTCTCCCTTTCTCTCTTCATATAATTTACATTTGAGTGTTTTAAATAAATATGTGTATCATTCCTAATATAGAATATGGAGAGTGATATGCTATATATATTTAAAATATATATTAAATTTTCATTATATACATGATTTGAAGTTGACATTGAAGAAAAAGGATTCATTTTCATTTTAGTATATTTTTTTTTTTGATATGTTTTAAGCACATATAAAACTCTCAGGATGAAAAATAGACAGTGTAAAAACAATGGTATAATCTTATATTGTCGAACAAATATTGAAATAAATTGAATTTTTATTCTATTTCATTAGTTTATTATACATACATATAGATTGCAGAATATCAATGGAAAATTTTATTTAACTATTATTCTGTCTTTTCAGTTACGCGTTCTTTTTATATAGTTTAAATTTTAAGATTAACATTTTAAATATTTTTTTTTATTGAATTGCAACTTACAAATATAAAATATTTTACAGTTACCAGGAATTTAAAATATCTACAATAAATCTGTTATATATTACATTAATATATTTACAAAAAATTGAAAAGATGCGGATATATTGTAAAAATCTTTACATAAACAAACGAATCTTTAGTACATGACTTTAACCTTAATAAACCTTAACCTGTACAGCTGACAAATTTCATGTTATATTTAAAATGAGCAATATTTATGTGTACCAAGAATAACGATGATTATTATTATTTGAACTAAACGGAATTATTAACACTTAATCTTAATCATTAGGTTAATATTGGGAAACACTTGAATCAATATAATTAAAAAGTAATTATTTAAATTAAATAAATCATTTTTCTTAAAATTTTTAAAAAATTCTTTAGTAATTATCTTACTATTATTAAAAACTTGTATATATAGCAGACTTGTATAGTTTAAATTAATTTAAAAAAAAAATTTTAAATAAAGGTTAGAGGTTTCCTTATTTGAGTAATCTATTTTATGACGAAAATTGTTTATTCATATAGAGTACGTTGATATTATTGAAATATTGTTAAAGAGTTTTACGAACATGGAATGTATAAACTTTGTTTTGGTTCCATATTTGGAAAATATACGAATGTATGGTAAGTAAAACGATTACAAATTTAATTTAAAAAATGCTTTATATAAATTAAATTCATATGGTGAGGCTAATATTCACATATAGGAAGAAGCCTTAACCACATTTTATGATTATAATCAATTAAGTTAGAAAATAAATAAGTATAAGTTTAAATTACATATGACATAATAATTAAGTTTTCTCAGCTATGCGGAAAATTTTCTATTTTTTTTCTTGGTTTTTTTTTTTAATTTTCAAGGATTTTTATAACAAAATAGTTAAAGATAATAAATATATGCATATTATAATTGAAATTTATTTCTAAACAGCTGATATCTGCAACAAAAAAAATCCTATTATTCGAGTATCCTAGTATTCTATAAAAAAAATCCTGTATAAATATATATATATATATATTTGACAAATTCTGTCATTTTATTTTAAATAGAGGACAAGTGGCATGACAAAAAGGAAGAAAAATGTGAAAATTTAAAAACAAACTTTATTTATTTATTTTTTCAATTTGCTGTTATACACTAATATTCATACTTACACAAACTGTAATTTTTTTTATCGAGTGCATTGCATATAATAAATGAATGTCGATTTTTCAGTGATAAAAGTGATGCACTAGTAAATTTCAAGTTCGGCTTTAATTGAGTTTATTTTAGCCGTATGACGGATGATTAATCCGTCTTATTTTACTTTTGGGGTATGTAAGGTATTAGCAACAGAAAAACATTTCAGTGACATCTTACAACAAAAAGGTGAACCGCAACTAAGAGCCAAAGTAAAAATTGTGATCGTTTCGTTAAACTTGTATGAATTAATAATTAATATCTTTTAATATTATTTAGAAAATACGATCATGTGGTCGACCATGTGATGGCCATATCAGATTTTTTCTTTTTTAAAGAAAATCTTGAAAAAATATAGAAGGATTAAATATGTAAAATTACATTTAAATTGTTTTCCATCCATTATTATATTGAAAATAAATAGAAAGCAAAGTGGCTAAATAAATAATATGGTAAAAAAATAAATAAATATAAATTAAAAAAAAAATAGAAAATTTTCTAAAATACCGGTGATAAAAGCAAAATTATTGTTAAAGATATAGAATATGCAGAAAAAACCAACAAAACTTTGCGTTAAAATTTTATATGAGTAATCACTAATGCGCGGTGGTTTCTTTAACAACAAATTTTCCCTAATGTAGGTATACATATGCATATTTGTGTATTATACATATATTATGTGTATTATACTTATAAAATTAATTTTTAAGTAAAAGAAAAGCTTTTCAATGCGAAAAAAATCCCATTTTATATTTAGAATATTGCATGCAATATTTTAAAATGTAGCATGCGATATTGTATATTGTAGCATGTAAATTTCATATATACAATTTTATTTTTTATTCAAAATATGGAAAAAAATTTCCCTTTTTAGTTTTTTTTTAATTTAATTTTATTTTAGCACATGTTTTATGATTTTCATACGCATGCTTTAGAAATTTTAGAAAATTTGAAAGAAAAATTTGTTGTTGTAAGTGATAATTTTGTATAGTTGTAGAATAAATTATAGAAATAGGAAAGAAAAATCCAACAGATGATTATTTTATTTTCAAAACAAAATGTATATAAAATTGTATAAAAAATTTTAAAAGCGACTTCTAAATTTGATATAAAAGTATATGTATATTCATACGTTCACACAAACTTGCTTTTAATTCTTATATTGTTGGTGAGAAAAGCTATTTTGACTAGAAATAAAGGAATTTATTTTCTACATATTTTTTATATTTAATACTGAACACAGAACTGAATAATTTCAGTCTTTTGAAAGCATTTACCCGGTTAATATTAAAAATTCAAAAAAAAAAAACAAGGAAAGAATTTAAATAATCGGTTTTCTCTCGTTTTATATAAAATAAAATAAAAAATAAATAAAATTATTTTTGATTGCTTTTAAAATAAAGATTAAAGAAAATTTACACAGCACTTTTATCAAAAGTGGAATAAAAAAAGTGAAAAATAAACATTGGAATTTTTTTCGTGTTTTTGCTTTTATTTCATTGTCACATTTAAAAGTGAATAAAGAAAAAATTCTATATTAAAAAAAATCAAGTGAAGAAAATTAAAATTTTTTAAAACTTGTACTGAGAGATTATTAAAAGAAAAAAGTTTATTAAATTGTACTCATACTATTTTATAGATGATATAGATTTTATTAAAAAAGAAAATATATTTAAAATAAAATAAATGGATTTGGTGCATAATAAAAATTATATTTAAAAAATAAACGTTTAAAATTTGAAGAACAAAAGAAAAATATTAAGTTTTTTACATAACATAAAAAGGACATTAAAATATTTAAATAAAATTGGAAATTTTGTGAAAAATTTACACAAAAACTCACCCTTGGAATAAAATTATTCTAATATTGCAATTTAGAACAAATAAAATAAGGTAAGTTATTAGAATTGTTATATTTAAATTTATTAAGAATTTATATTTTAATTTATTTTTTATATTTATCATAAATATTTAACAATATACTCGTATATTATTCACTAGAATTTGTTTTTGTAAAATTTATCCAGTATGTATTCAATTACTTAATTTGCCCAAAAAAAGAGGATTTTACAAATTAGGCTAAAATGTAATTCAATCGACCGATTTAAGAAAAAAAAATTATATTCAATGAATTTCTAAAGGAATTAGTTAGGAAAATTTAAGAAAATATTAGATGATAAATTTTTTCTTAGATGGTTTTTTATAATTACTCTTGGATTTTAGATCCTCTTCGAAAAAATTGATTATTTTGATAATATTGTGAAAAAAGACATTAAATTATTATTATATTAATAAACTATTACTTATCAGATAACAAATTTAATTTTATAGTATAATTTAATTGTGTTTTTTTCTCTTATATAGTCATTTTTCATAAAATTTGCAGTTTCATAAGTTTTAATATAGAACTGATGCAAAGAGTAATAAAAATTTGAAAAATTCCTCACTATTTTGTTAGACGAAATTGTAATATTGATCTTCTAATTAGGATTGTCATATAATTTTCTTTAAATAAATTTTTCTTTTCAATAGCATAATACAAAAATTAGTTATTTCTAATAATTAATATAGTAAGGTGTGAAAAATATTCATTGCAATTCTATGAAAGAAATATAATTAAAGCGAAATAATGAAATCATCATAAAATTAATAAATTGAGGACTTAAAATTTCAAAAATTTAATATTTTTTGGATTTGTTATATGTGCATTGACAGAATTTTTACTAAAATATTCGAATTTTTATTGAAGATATACGAAAAGTTTAGAATCATGTACAAAATTAATATTATAATAATAAAATTACAAGTGGACCCACAACTTTGTAATATTGTTAATAAAATCTTCATATTATGAAATATTTCTAATTTTAGAAAATGAAGTAGTAAGTTTTTTTATTTAATGTACACGCACAGTTCTTAAGTACTTCATTGTAAAGTTAATTATACATTTTTAGTTAAATATTACATATGAAGTATATTTTGTGTGATAACATCACTGTTATCTGCATTACAGAAAAAATACGTGTACTTTTAAATAAATCGATATGCCATTTTTTTCCTATTCAAATTAGGCACATAATAAAAATTATTAAAATAATTAATGATTTTTTTTTCTTTATTTAACAAATTCCATTCTATATTAGTAATATGCAAATTTATATTAGTATTTATATTATCAAAATTCTAAACATGAACCTATCAAATTATATGTGAATTAAGCAATGTAATATTAATTAACCCTCAACAGCGGGAAAAATGAAAATTGATACGAGTACGAAACGATAAAAAGAAATTGTATAAAAAAATTAGCAGTTGATTAAACAATAATTGTTTAGTTGAAAAAGTGAAGGACGTTCCATGAAATATAGGATAGAATAAAGCAAAAAAAAAATATATGGAGAAGAAAGGGTTAATTATATATTTTCTTTTTTACTAGTAAATTTTTTTATACTCGAATTTGTTTAATGGGAATTTCCAAATAATTCATTTTATTATTATATTTACTTATATGTACATTTGTTTGCATATATCGATAAATATAATAGAACGATATCGTAATTTTATAATAATAATGTGGTAAAGAATTTAATTAAATGTCCATTTTTTTTTGTATATGTGTAGGGGTATGTTTAAGTTTTAGATTATTATTGATAAAATTATTTATATAAAATCCAATAATTTTAATAATATTGACTTTTTTTTCATTACTATTTAATTTATATTTCATCATTATTACATACTTTTTATGAAAATAGTATATAGCACTTAATGAAATTTGAAGGACATACACTTGTTAAGATATAATATAAGTGATGACATGCAAAATAATGGTTTTCTAAATAAAATTTAATTTATTTTTTTATTTTGTATTTGCTTATTATCACTTATTCATTCGTTTACATAAAATATAATTTTTTATTTAATAATACTAAGAATTAGTAATACTTAATAAAAATTGCGTATTTTATTAACCTAATTAGTAATAATAGTAATTCTAGTAATAAGTGAAGTTTTTCAAACGCTTTAATTTGTAAGTAATTTGAACTTTATTTATATAATAGCTGAATTTTTTTTGAAATTAAAAATTTTAAGGTAAGAAGGCAATGTCATAATCATAATTATTATATCAATCGTTATTTGAGTTATCTAAATGATAATAATGATCAATAAACTAATACTGCTAATAATCTACGTTAAAAAAGCCCATTATTAAATGCCCTCTTCGATTTCTATTATACCTAAACCTATCTCTATATCATTTGGAGTATAAGTATTAGATTTTGTTCAAATTAAACATAACGTACATAAAACTTAGTCAATATTCAAAAAACTTCTAAGCTAATATTTAAAAAATATTATTATAACAAATAAAAAATTTGTACTTTGAAATGATTAATTTTTCTTTAAAATATTATTACGTTTATTCTGCAGCACACATGTTTTTATATCGATATCTTCAAAATTTTTAACATATTCAAGCATTATAAAAATATAAACACTATTTTATATTATAATATACTTAAACATATTGGTGTATATGTATATATATATTCATATTTGAACAGTTGATACTCGCATAATATATGAAAAAACGTAAGAATATAACATTTTAGTTTTGTTTTTTCTCAATAGCAACAAGAGTTCATTTCACTCACTCAATATAATGAATTCACATATGTACATAATTAACGTCATTACAAATACCTAATATATTTTTTTGGTTGTTCTTAATGTATTTTCTTTTTTTAAGATTTTTCAATTATTTTATTTCATTTAATCATAAAAAGAGTTCATAAAATTCCATGATCTTGTTAAAAATTTTTTTTTTTGCTTATTAAAGCATACGTCATTATATACAATCATATTCAAAAGTATAAATATTTTAAAATTTAAAAAAATTAAAGCAATTAAAGTAAGTGCTATAAAAAATGTATGTGTTGTAGGTACGTCAAATAAAAACATGAGAAGATAAAAATGAAAATTTTTTGTTTGATTACGTAAAATTATGATAAAAGAACGGGAAAATTTGCATATACTGAGGCGTACTAATGTTTTCATTTAGTTGATTATATTTCGATGATAGAAAATTTTTCAAAGATACTGTTAATATCAGATTTCCTTACTGAATTTTAAAAGATATTTTTTTACTGTATCTGCTAGAACTGTTAAATGTGTTATATTCTTCTATATTTGATGGGGCAACATCATAATTTTCAATTTAAAACAAAAAAATATGATATTCAATTTGACTTATAAACTCGCCGGTATAAAATATTTTTTTTTTGTAAATAAGCAAATAAGAATATATAAAAAGAAATACACAAAATCTAAGGTGAAATTCCAATTTGTTGATTCATTACAGTTAATCAAAATTCCTCTTATTCCTATATATAATATTTTAATAATTTTCATATCAATGACAAATATGTAATTAAAAAAAAATATAAAATAAAATTTGAACAGAAATGTTGAAAACTAAAATATGTAGTTTGTTTTTTTTTGAAAAACATGAAAAAAAATTGTTATTCTCGTGGTGTGTTGGTTTTGAATTAATCTTAATTTTCGTTATTTTATAATCATACGGCCTCCGGTCTGAGTAATTTATTATTTATTTATAGCGGAAAAATATACCATACATAATTTTTAAAATTTCTAAATTTACCTTGAAATTCTCTTTTCGAGCGAATTAAGGGCAAATTTTATATTATATTCTTCTGTTATTTAGTAATAATATTTTATAATTTATGTATTTGATTTTTTTTTATATTTTAATACCACATACTATTACTTTTAGTTTGTTATTATAGAATATTAAAATGTAGTATATAAAATGAATATTTAGAAAGAATTTTTAAGCAAATTATTGGGAAACTCATATTATATATAAGTTTGTTTATTATAAGGTAAGGAATGCTTAATTAATAAAAAAAAATATGCTTTTGATTTTGATATCGGTTGTCCGAAATAGAAATATTATAATTGATGAAATTAGAGACATCGTTATGATATAGTAAAAGATAACTGTTTAAAAAATTTTCAGCGTTTTCCTAATGGTGTCCAGTATTTAATGTAGATTTCAAATAAAACCTATGGTTTACTACACATATAATTAAATATAATGAAAACGTTAAATGTTAAATATGTAATTTAATAAACCCCCCTCAATTTTAATCGCGTTCAATTCAATGTTCCTATTATTAGAATAGATTTTTTTTTTAAAAATTCAAAATTTCAAGAGCACCACATATCTTTTGATGGTACACAAAAAAAAACATCATGTTAAACATTTCTTTTTAAATGAAGTGTGAAAATTTTATATTTTTAATATTTTAAGAATTTCCGCTGATCAATGAATAATAGTACAAAGGAGAGAAAAAAATCTACAATTAATAATAATAAACTGTTATAAATTTTATTTAATTTGCAAAATTTATTTACATTTTTTTTTTGCTATTTGTTTTAGTTTTTTTTTTCAAAAACATTGAAATATTTTCAAAACAAACATTTAAATGTTTTGTCTTTTAATGCTCGTGTTTCACAAAGTTCTAATACAAAAAAATATATACGAGTATATGTACAATAAGAAAGATAAAATAAACGAAATAAATTCGAATTTGTCATATGGGGGTTTGTCACTTCTATGCCTTTATTGTTTCCTCCTATCCCCATCTAAAAATTTTATTTATCTATGTTTTGTTTTTTTCAATGAAATTTAAGTATTTTACCCCGGAAAATTTGTGATTTTTCTTAGATATTCTTTTTTTATTTCAAAATAAATATTTTCTTTGATTTTTATTATTATTATTTTTATTTTTCGTTCTTACAAAATAAATATTTCAAATATAATATATAAGTATGTATATGAGCGTGTAAAAAATTATGTATGCATACAT